GAAGCATTAAAATATTTGCTGACAACCGTAGGCACCTAAACAGTGTATTTGTACCATTACAGAATTAAATAAATGCAGTACAATTGGATTTTTTGTTTCTCTAACTCACTTTCACCAAAACAGTAGAACTTTTGCTTTTTGAATGTCAAAAATATGTAAAATTTCCAACAAAAGCAAGCTAATGAACAATAAAAGGAAATCCACAAATATGATCTTGTTTTCTCCCGATTTTCAACTTGTCTGACAAAGTGCCCATGAAGCTTATCAGCCAAACTGTTATTTAACAGAAGGAATAGCTGGTACTACTTACCTTGAATTTTTTTTATTTTTTTATTTTTTTTTTGGGTGTGTAAGCTTCTACAACTGTTTTTTTACAACTTGTATTACCATTCTACTTTAACAGTAATAATCTACAGCCTATTCTACAATAGTGTGAGGAAAAATATACACCCAAAATTGCTTACACTTTCTGGCTGCAACTTTTGAGATTGTAAAACAAATTTCCAATTGCCCTTCTCTTCATGTTAACAAATTCTTCATATTCCCCATTTCTTTGTGCCAGTAACAAATGATCTCATCTTTGACTATGCTCAGGCAAACATTTCACCTACTGTTTTACAAAATGTCTCTTACGTTAAAAATGTAAAAACAACTTGGAGTAAAAAAATCACTAGTACATAAATGTATAACCACAAATTGATAGAATTAGCCAAACATGGTGCAAATGCCATCATTGGGTGGACCCAGCTCCTGAGTGGCCTGCTTTTGAGAATACATTACATGTTTATTGCCTGGCAGTTTTTGCCCACTGATTTTGAGTGACCAAGAGGATACTTAAATAATTCTTTAAGTTATTACTTTATTTAACACTTCAGCCTTCAATCAAAATTTTCTAAGATAACCATTTATATTCTCATGCTAGGAGATACTAATAGCATTGATCAATCACATCTGGTAGAAGCAAAAGATGGTATTAAATATCCTTCACTCTGGCTAAGTAAGGGAGGTCTTAAATGCATACCTTTTAGTGCCAGCTGATGTAAGAAGACATGACTTCTTGTCATCCAGCAAGACAAACCTGAATGCTACCACAGAGCTTAACTACCAATGCAATAACTGCAGTAATGCCCAGGTACAACAAATATGTGTCTGAAAACATGTAAAAGCACAAAGACAGCAAGCAGAGAGCAGGAACAGAAATAGTTCATATCACATAAGGGGATGAGTGAAGAGGGTTTGCACTGGAGAACGCAGTTCACAGAACCCAGCAAGGTGCAGGGCAGGCAGGGCACAGTACTTGTGTGTGAACTGACACCACCTGGAAGTCCCTGGGACCACAGACTCTGCCCTAGGCTCATTAACCTTCTCCTTTCACTTGAAAGTCAGGGGAAGAGCTCATGAAGAGAAATAGTAATGAGAGTTGATTTCTTACAGAATTATGTTTTTTCCCTTACTCCTCTGCTGTCCACCTTCTCCATAAAACACCTACTGGACAAGGCTGAGGTTACTCATACTCTAATTAGCCAGCTCAGTATAAACAAAACAGTTGGCTGGCAAGTGGCTACAGAACATGATCTGCAGCTCATATGCCTACCTCTGCCTCAGCAAAGACATTAATTTTGCTTTGCTTTTCATTCAACTACCTCAGGCTTTACAGAACTTGTAGAGACTTATTTCCAAGTCCACAACTCCCTGTGAAATACGGTTCAAATTTGCTGTCAGGTTCAAAAATTACTCTGGAAAGAGAAAGAGGATAGGGACCAAAAGATAAGAGAGTGTGTTCTAGAAATGTTTTCCTTCCAAAATAGGGTCTGATTGTGTAAAGGCAAACCACAATACTATATGCTGAAATCTTGTAAGAAACTACAAACTCATCAGCTGAATATAAAAGTAACGGATTAATATTTGGTTGTATTATTCAACTGCAAGGTGAAAACAATCCCTAATATAATCTGAATAATAAATGCAATTCTAGAACATAATAACTGAGGAACTTCCAGAAGAATATTAATGCCATTGCAATGGTCCCTGGTGAAATGACCTTAGAAATAGTGTCAAATATTTTTAAAAACAAGCTCAGACTGGAACATTGACAACTAAGGGATGGTAAGAAGGAAGGTAATGGTAAGAGAAATTAGTAACTTGCAGGCTGACACTAGGGGAACTGAACCTGTTTAGCCTAGCAAAGTCAAGTCTAAAAGACTGAAATAATAGAAACAGCATCAGATGGTTTCTAGTCTTCAGAAGAGTCAGAGCAGTCTTCCTATGAGTACAGCTGAGCTGCAATCTCAGTATTTGCCTGTCCCAAAGAAGAAAGTGGAAAGCCACCTCCAACCTCTAGACCATCTCTAGCCCTTTAGCTTCTAACACCAGATTCCAGCAGCATTCCTCCCTGCTGGCTTGCAGGATACGTTCTGCTTTGTATTTATTTTTTTACTAACAGAACTTCCTGTGGACAGGCAAGTAACTAAGCCTAAGCTAGTTAGCAAAATGCTTTCTGTGGAGTTTCGTACTCTTTGGAGATGCACACTCTTTCAGGGCAAATCATCCCATTTATCATCACTGAAATGTCTTTCCTTCTTGCTGTTCAGTGGAACAGTGTGATCTCATTTAGGAATTCTATTTCTTACTCCACCGACTTCTTGCTTAAAATACTCAGCTGTGTGTGAAAACTCACTGTCTTCACTCCCCACCACCCATGGTGGGGATACTTTAATTGCTTTTCACATGTTGTTGTTGGCACCTTCTGCCCATCAAATTCAACTTTTTAATAGTAATTATCTCAGTAAAAAGACGAGATTTAATCCTCTCTGGAAATGCCTTTATATGTAGTATTCAATAAAGAAATTGCATAAAGTCTTTACTCAGGCTTTTTACTAAAAATGCTCCTTCATGTTCACCTAATCAAACTATTGACTTTCTGTCTTCTCAAAGTTGTGCACTGAAACAAGAAAAGCCAATGCTATTCATAAGTCATCACTGTGCAGACTGCACGTATTTACCCATAGCTCCTGTTTGAAAGTTTCAGTGCATAAAATGTCTGTGGACAATCACCTCCATGAAAAAACACATTTATCCCACACTGTTATTATGTGAGATACATCCCTCACACATTCCATGGCCTTCCTCGTTCTTACCCAGCTGAGCCTTGAGGTGGTAAAACAAGCCTTGGCTACATTATCTCTATGGTGTGGGGGCAGATGAGTAGTTCTGTTGGACTGCCCTTCAAAGGATTATCTTCCTGTGCCTCGGGAAGGAAAAAGCCTTCTTACCTGCTCAGCAGTACAAGAGAAGAGACAGGCAAGTGAGAGTTGAGCAGCAGCTTCATAACTTAAAAAACTGATCCAGGCTGACAGTTCATTCACATTCTGGGTCAAGAACAGGACTGAGGAAATAATACAAACTTCCAAACAGTGTTTGGGGTGCTCTATTTGGGTGTTTTTAGTGTTGTGTTGCCCTCCATATACGAAAGGACTTTATTCATTAGCACTGTCCATAGATATTTTCCTCTAATGTCAAGAATCACTAATTTCACGTTTTCTTTAACGAAAAAAAAAATAATTAAAAAAATTAAGCAAAATCTGTCACACTGACTTAAGAACTAAAAGGAGCCAATATGAACCTTATTAATTAAAGGTGTTCTCTTGTAATGACTGAAAGCCAATGAAAGGTTTAAGCTCTCCTGGCTAAAATTCAAGCTAAAAACGTGGTCTTTCTTTAAACCCTGGAACGAAGTAACTCTGTTCGATACAGGATTCAATTCCACACCAAAAAAACATACAGTCCGTTTTATTATTTTAACTATAACTCCTCTTGCTTTCTAACGGGCAGCGCCCCAGCCCCTCCGCCCCGCT